CACACACAAACTGGTGAAATCCAAACAAGGATTATAGTTTAGTAAATACTACAGTACAAGTATCAATTTCCTAGTTTTAATAATGTACTATGGTTATATATTATCATTGGAGAAAGCTAGGTGAAGGGTACATAGGAAACTCCCTTTATTGTTTTTGCAACTTCTTGTAAGTATTAAATTATATCAAAATATAAGGCTTTTTTCTTTTTCTTTTTAAAGACTTTATTTATTTGACAGAGAGAGAGAGACAGCGAGAGCAGGAACACAAGCGGGGGGGGGGGGGGGGAGAGGGAGAAGCAGGCCTCCTGCCAAGCAGAGAGCCCAATGAGGGGCTCGATCCCAGGACCCTGGGATCATGACCTGAGCCAAAGGCAGATGCTTAACAACTGAGCCACCCAGGCGCCCCTATAAGGCTTTTTTAAAAGACCATCACTGGGACGCCTAGGTGGCTCAGTCAGTTAAACCTCTGTCTTTGGCTGAGGTCATGATCCCAGGATCCTGGGATTGAGTCCCGCATGGGGGAGCCTGCTTCTCCCTTTGCCTGCCACTTCCCCTGCTTGTGCTACTCACTCCTGCTCCCTTGCTCTCTCTGACAAATAAATAAATAAAACCTTAAAAAAAACAAAAACATTTTTGATAATGATTGTTCACAATATGGCAAGAAATTAAATCAATCAAAAGTTTGGGGAAAAGTTGTTGTTTTTTTTTTTTAAGGTTTTATTTTTTTGAGAGAGACACACAGAGGGAGAGGGAGAGGGAAAAGGAGACTGCCCTCTGAGCAGGGAGCCCGACATGGGGCTCGATCCTAGGACCCTGAGATTATGACCCGAGCCGAAAGCAGATGCTTAACCAACTGGGCCACCCAGGTGTCCCTGGAAAAAATTTTTTTCAACATTTCTCAAGAATAGATTTGCTTGGGAATACCGAACAAAGTGCTTCATTAAAATAAAAAATTGAATAGATCAAGATTTTTGTACTAAGGTAAAAACAAAGTCAATGAGACAAAAGTGTAAACCAGAGCTACTTTAAAACTGGTGATACTGTTGGTTATATTCTTTATAACAGATATGTCTACTTTAGGGGAACTAATTATCAATTGAATTCATCATAAAAATCATACTGAGTCACTACAGTCTCCTTCATACATATAAATCACTATTTAAAGCAAATATTTTACTTCACATCTCCTTACACAGAAGCATATCTATGAAAAAGTGCTGTAAGACATTTTGGAACCACTAAGATACTTTACTGGATTTAATCAGTTTGAGTAACTTATACAAAAATAAATGGATATACAAAGTGCATTCGAAAACACACAAAATCAGATTCATAACAGAACATAAACCATATTACAAGTTAATAAAAGCAAAAATAAATATGGATTCAAAAGTTCTTTTCAATAACGAAAACAACTTTTCTATATATGACTTTCTAATGAGGAATTCATTTTAATTATAAGTATGACTGAATGTGAAACACTGAATAGAATGTAGACAGTTTAATATAGTGTACTGAGAGTTGATATGATCCCTTGTTTTTAATGATTTTCTCCTTTAATTAAAGGGGATCTGGAAACATGCTCTATTAGGAAGAAAAACCTAGAATGTGAACGGCTCTTTTCAGTAAAGCAACAAATGCATGCCAGAGTTTCACATAGAAAAACTGTTTAAAAACAAGAATAGTAAATACTGTACTTAAATAATATCTTTCTAAAAATTAGGAGCCTTTCTGGATACTCATATACCATCTATTGCTCTAAGCCTGAGTTAGTATGAGAAAACTATTAGGCTTCAACAAACGAGTGTTCTATGCCAGGGATATGGTGATCATTATAATGGGATACTTTTTCCAACCCTTACATCCAGTGCAGTACCTATCAATGTAGGACAATGACTCCATTTTGAATAAATTATCTCAGTGGCCTCAACCAGGCAAGTTAATTAGAAATATGGGTTTCACGTAGGGCCACTGTTTTACATGCCTGGAATCTAGGCCTCACCTTTTAGAAGACTCTAATTTTCCAAGGGAAACTATCCAAGGGTTAGAATTGGTGATTTGATTAAAAATTGACGGATTCAAAGATAAGCAAGATCCAGCCAAGCCAAGTCAAGCCAAAGACAGCTAGCATTGAGACTGGCAAAAAATGTGCTTTCCTTTGGGGCTGCTAAGCTGGTTGAATGTAAACATGGAGAACGTTAGCCTGAGAATGAATTTTGTTTTAAACATTTATTTATTTTAGAGAGAGAGGGCACACATGCAAGCAGGAGGAGGGGCAGAGGGAGAGAGAGATGGAAAGAATCCCAAGCAGATCCCCCCCAGAGTGCAGAGCACAACTCGAGAGGCTTAATCTTGCGACCCTGACCCCGAGACCATGACCTGAGCTGAAATCGAGTCGGATGCTCAATGGATTGAGCCACCCAGGCGTGCTTTGGCTTTTTGTAATTTCCAATTAAAAGTTGTGACTAACAAAATTTACTGGGCAATGTGCAAATTATTTTAAACTCCAAAATTCCATGAGTCTAAGTTTTAAAAAAAGATTTTGGAAGTAAAAGAATCTATTATTGGCTGAAATATCTATACTAACAATGTTTAAAAAATTAATCAATGTGTTCAAGTAAAAGAAAAATGGACATTGAATGACTAATAATCCTGATTCTGCCAACTTGCAATGTGAATCTCTCTAGGCCTCTATGAATATGAGAAACAGAATGATTATCTAACCCTGAAGCTCTTACAAAGTCCTGGATTTTAAGCATTGTAAGAAAATTATCATTCTTAGTTAATTTGACTATAAATGATTACCCTTTATTAATTTACTCCTCCATCAAACATTTAGAGTGTCTATTGTTTACCATGCACCGTAACTGGTACTGAGAAGACAGGGATGAGTAAAACTCTGCCCCCGCCACCAAGGAGTTCACAGTCTAACAAGGCAGAAAGGCATCTAAATAACCAGATATTTAACCTGCGTGAGAAAGGGAAAAAAAAAATTTCAAGTATATATGAAGTACAAAAATAGCCTGGGACTGACTGATCATCTGGGAAGAGTAAAGAAAAGCTTCAAAGAGCAATGATGTTTGAAATGAATTTTAAACGATGAAAAGAAGTAAGCCAAATCAAGAGGAACAGGATAGTGCTAGACTGAAGAAGTAGATTTTTCAAGGGTTTTATAAGCAGTTCAATATTGACGGAGCACAAAATGGGGGGGGGCAGCCAAGGAAATGCAAAGAGCTTTTCACGGATTATGAAGGATTCCACATGCTATGCTAAACAAGATGGAATTTATTCTGTAAGCATTGAGACGACCCTGTAAGGATTTTTTTTTAACGTGAGAAAATTTATCAGATAATTTTAATGTACTGTTTTTTATTAGAGTTCAAATAAGCATTGTGAATAACATACTAGTTATCTTTACGAAACCAGAGAAAAAAATTCATTTAATTATGTAATTATGCCTTTTAAACAGTAATGTGCCTGGCATAATCATTTAACAAGTTATAGTCAGTATTTGATAAATATCTGATGAAGGAACTGCAGTGGCCAGATTAATATGAGAGGATGTCGTGCTTAACAATAAAGATTTTAAAATGCAGAACAGGAAAAAGTGCAAAAGTTTTTTAAGGTTCAAGTCTCCGGGGACATAACCCCCTTCCTCAAAAGTAGACAACCTTGGGGCGCCTGGGTGGCTCAGTCGTTAAGCATCTGCCTTCGGCTCAGGTCATGATCCCAGGGTCCTGGGATCGGGCCCCACATCGGGCTCCCTGCTCAGCGGGAAGCCTGCTTCTCCCTCTCCCGCTCCCGCTGCTTGTGTTCCCTCTCTCACTGTGTCTCTTTCTGTGTCAAATAAATAAATAAAATCTTAAAAAAAAAGACAACCTTTTTATTAATGACTTTTTCCTTTCTATATAAACTATTCGTGACTTTCAAAAGGCCTCTATTCTTTTCTCTCCCAATTCCCCTCTCTTTATTTGATACTCATATGAGAATCCCAGTCGTTACCGTAGTCCAGTCTTCCCAGACACAGTCCAAGGCTAATTATCGTTTCCAAAATTATAAACTCTGCCTCCGCTTCAAAATCCAGGAATCCTCTCATGTTCAAATTCGAAAATGCTCATAACCATTTCAACATCAAACGTTGCTAGATCATTTCTGTAATGCTCACTGCTACAATCCCAGAGCATACTTTCATCACTTTAAATCTACACTACCACAGCTCTACTCTCTCTATTCGGCGCTACAAATCTCATTAAAGCAAGGAACACAGAATTTGGTATTACTTAAGTTCAGGTGTATTTAATATGTGTGCTCATTCTAGGGACTTAGTTATTTGTTTATGTTTGTTCCTTATTAAAGAAATAAATGATTTCTCACTGTCAACAAGGTAGGTCACCAGATAAGGGTTCCTATAAAACCAGTGTTGTACACCCGGGGTAACAAATTCAACTTGCACTTCCTGATCTTATCTCCCTTCCTCAATTCCAGTGGAACCTAAAGCGACAGGGAGGAATGATGTATGGGCCAAAAGGGAGGGGAATGCAGGAGCCCACAGGCGGGGGCCTCACTTCCGATTGCCACGCGACACCAAGAAACACAAAAGGCCCTCTAGCTCTTCCACAACCCACAAAGAAAGATGGATAAGACACCAGTGCTTCTCGGGTTATCCCCAAGAGCAAAGACACAAAAAGAAACTGCTCTGAAAAACAATCCCTTGCTCGTTCAGGACTCACCTGTCAAGAGCGGCGTGGACGGCGCCATCTTGTCCCGGAAAGAGAAACCCATGCGCTTGGGTCAGAGTTCACGAGGGCCAAACCCGGCCCCTACACGTCTCCTCAGGCGTGGAAACCGCGCAGAGCTGTTTCCGGTATCACAAACCTCGGGGCCAATTCACTTCCGGTTGGAGACAGCGGCGGAAAAGGAGCCCGAACGCGCACGCGCAGCTCCGGGGCAACACTTTAAAGAGCGTCGGGGGGCTGGGCTAGGGCCCGTGCGCCCGCCTTCGTCCTCTTTCTCCGTCGGCTTCAGCAGGCGGAGCCCGCACTTCCGCGGGGCGGAGCCCGTCCAGTGCTGACGTTGGCAGCCGAACCCGAAGTAGTTCGAGGCTACGGACAGCGCTACACGGTTGTTGCGTTGCATTTCCTTCCTCTTTCACTCCACGCTCCCGGCGGCGGCCAGAGCGGCGGCGCAAGACCATCTCGGCGGCCTGCTGTCGTCCCGCGCGCCCACCTCTCCGCCGGCCAGTCCGGCGTCGTCAGTCAGTCGGCGGCCCGCGCCCGGCTAGCGCTTGTCTAGCCCAGGCCCAGCGGCCGGAGCTAGCGCCCCGCCTGAGAGCCTCCAAGCTCCGGCGGCGCAGGCACCAGGAGCAGAGCGTCGCGGCGGCCCAAGGGGAGGCGAGCGAGCGCGTCCAAGGGGTGGCTGGGGCAGGTGGTGGCGCCGCGAAGATGGTCGCCAAGCAGCGAATCCGTATGGCCAACGAGAAGCACAGCAAGAACATCACCCAGCGCGGCAACGTCGCCAAGACCTCGGTAAGGAATGAGCAGGCGCCCCTCGGTCCGGCAGCCCGGGCTCAGGCCTGGGTCGTAGGGCCGCGTCGAGCTGTCCACGAGACCCGAGGCTAGCGGACCGAGGCTGCGAGCTGGACGCTAAGTTGGCGGGGGCAGGCTGGGGGGAGGGCGTTCGGGAAGGTGGGTGCTGGAGCTTGGCGGTTCGGGAACAGAGAGGAAACCTGTGAGGTGAGAGGACCCGGCCACCTGGGCCAAGGTGTAGGCTGCAGGAGTCCGGGGTCGGAGCGGGGTTTTGCATTTGAAAAGGGAATTTTCATTTTTGCAGAGAAATGCTCCCGAAGAGAAGGCGTCTGTAGGACCCTGGTTATTGGCTCTCTTCATTTTTGTTGTTTGTGGTTCTGGTAAGTGTTTTGGGGCTACCATTGGGTAAGGGCGTTGGATGTAGGGCTTGGGATGACGTGATGACCCATCAGTGGTGAATCCTACCAGCGTAGTTCTCAACTCACCTGCCGGGAGCCCCACAAAAGTCACTTTCATCTGAACCGAATTGCTTGTCCCACATATGCACAGAGAGTGGTGCTCCAGAAACTTCTCACAGCTTGATTTGTGCTCACAGGAGATCAGAAAAGGAGGTCAGGTCCTTAGTAATGATCAAGTTGGAAGAAATTTAGACCAAAACAACCCTTATGGAATGAGAATTCAGAATGTTTTGCAGCCTCATTATCGATACATTTTTAAAAAAAGCTTAGGAACATGATGTATGTATATGGACGTTGAACTTAATTTAACGTGTCCCAGAATGTAATGCCTTTATGTCAAAATTGGGTATATTTTATAGAGTAAAGCTCTTGAAAAGAATTGATTCTTTATAAAGGAAACGGACCTGATTGGCAACTTAATGTATGAAATAAATGTTTTTAGATTAATTAAAGAAACGTTTGACATATGGTAGGAAAAATAAGTTAGCAGATAAACCTGCTGTTAAATTATACATTGTTGCCTCTGCAAATTACAGAATACCTTTCGTCTCTTCATTTATTATCTTAATATACAAGTTGTTGATATTGAAGTACATGTTTCTGTTTTTTACATTCTGACATTCTAAAATTACTGAGGTTTTTCTTAAACATTTCACTTTGCCTGCCTCCTAAACTTACTAGTTAGAAGCTTTCTTGATAAATGGCCAAGAGCCAAGCAATTTATTTAACCTAAAGATGATCAAATTTCAGCTTTGTGAGAATGAGGAAACCTGGTTATATTACAGGCCAGGCCTTAGAAGGACACTTAATATTTTGGGGATAAATCAAAATAATTCTATGCTAGAAAAACCTGTTTGCTTTGGCGCTTTAAGTTCTTTCTAAAATGATTGCGTATTGCAAAATCTCTTGGACATTTAGAAATAAAATTCAGAGAAACAAATTTAAAAATAAAATTTAGACATTCAATTGTTAGAGTAGGCTTGTCTTTTTTTATTTCGGCGAAGTTACATAGCATTTGCAAGTAATTTTAAGGGTGCGTTTGGATTCTTGTGAACTACCTTAATAAGTATCAGTTGCCAGACCTATTTTATTCAAAGCATGCATACTAAAACATTTGCTCTTTCTCTTTACAGCAATTTTCCAGATTATTCAAAGTATCAGGATGGGCATGTGAAGTGACTGACCTTAAGATGTTTCCATTCTCCTGTGAATTTTAACTTGAACTCATTCCTGATGTTTGATACCCTGGTTAAAAACAATTCAGTAAAGCATCCTGCCTCAGAATGACTTTCCATATCATCCTTCATTTGTCATTCCAAGGTTTCTTCACGAGTCATTCCAAGTTTTCTAGTCCATACCACAGTGCCTTGCAAAAGCACCACATGAATAAAGCAATAAAATTTGATTGTTAAGCTACAGTAGTGGACCCTACTTATTCAGTCAGTAAAGAGTAAATTTTTTTAATGTGGTTATTAAAACAGTATCCAGTATAGATAATTAGATTAAGTCTATGTAGACAGGGTCTAGATTTTGTTAACCCTAATGTGTAAATGCAATTAGCTTAATTTAAAGTTTGGAGTTTGGTTTTTATATAGCTAGGCACTTTATTACTGTATCTTGAATTGAAAGCACACTCCCATATAGGGTCATGTAACTGTCATGTAATAAAGTGCTTATAATGGAACCCAACTACACAGCCTAGTTTTCCCATAATCTTTAGCACCTAAATTTTTTAAAAGCTAAATGCTTAATATAAAGGGAGATGCTTACAGCTACAACATCTATTTTAACAATATTTCTGTTACACTACCTTGGATTTTGCATGAGTAATTATACTAACCTGAAATGCCATAAGAAAACAACTTGATTGAGCATTTTGTAACTTAATGAGTCAATTCATTTTCACTAAAAGCTACCATGGTGGAGTAAAATCAGGGACAGTTTATGTCACCATTGATTTCACCAGAATTACTTTAATATATCAAAGGGGTCTACTGTGCTAGACAACATTTTAGGGAAAAATACTACTAAAACTGGGTGTCTCATCAGGACATACTGATGAGTCCAATGTGCCGTAAGACATCTGAGCACATTAATAGCACTTTTGATACCAAAAAAGGCACATCAATTAAAAAGTTACTTAGTGTTTGGAAATAATTTTCTAGATTTATGATTAAAATTTTGTTAGGGTACTAGATACGTCAGACTAAAGTGCCCTCTGGAAGTAAATGGATTTACTGATAAGGATCAGTCTTTATAGTCTTCCCTTTGTTGTATAATTTTATAGGTTATGATTGATCAAAGTTTCTTTTTACTAATGGTAAGGGTGAGAAGGCAGGTTTTGGGTTCTCTGGTACTGTTGAAAATTTTAAGTTTTGGCTATTTAAATACTTAGTCATAACTTGATTAAAAAAAAAAAAAAGCCTGAGAGGTGTCTCTGTATCAATGAATTGGAATGAAAGCTGCTCGTTTGCTTTGTTAATTGCCTCAGGATATCTTTTAAAATAAGCTCTTTTAAGAGGAACAGAAGGGAAGTCTGCTACCTAATACACAGTGTGAACCTCAGAGCTTCTGATACCCCTAAATGTAGGAGGAGAATGAGGGAGAGGAGCAGTTAAGAAGGTTTAGGAATTTACTCAAGAATAGGGAAGGCATCAGCCGACCTTGGACCAGCAGGTTTTTATCTGCATTGTTACCTGCCTTTCTCACCCAGGAAATCAGCGCTGTACTTGTTTCCCTCTTTGAAGCCAGTGTCTTGGTTGACTAATTCTATTTTATTGTAACTCTAAAAATGAAAGTTACTGTTCTAAATTTATATAGCAGGTGCCTTATTCTTTGCTTTGAGTCAAACCATTCCATATTAGAATTTCCCCTGGTTTACTATAGATAATTGGCTTTAAGATGTTCGGGTTTTGTTTTTTTTTTTTTTGATTGTACAGTGTATTAATTTGACTGTTAAATTGCTATAGCTAGCAATCATTTTACATATGTAAAGTTGCATTCCCTTTGTATTTCATGTGTAATTTCCTAATTGAGAACATTTTATATTAAGGATGGATTATGCATGTTTGGGTCAATGAAAGCTATGTCTTATTTGATTTATCCTTTAAAAATAAAGTTCCCTGAATATTTGATGCCTTCTAAAAGGAAATGATTTTACAGATGTCTTATCGGAGTGTACTTTTTGTAGTTAATAGAAAATTATTTTAAAGAATGCCTAGTGTTATGTTGTACTTGAGTTAAAAGAAATAGTACCCAGAGACAGATTAAAAGTTCATAACTGGGAATAAATAGTAAGAAATAGATTAAAAGCACAGTGAATTGGGCGCCTGGGTGGCTCAGTTGGTTAAGCGACTGCCTTCGGCTCAGGTCATGATCCTGGAGTCCCAGGATCGAGTCCCACATTGGGCTCCCTGCTCAGCAGGGAGTCTGCTTCTCCGTCTGACCCTCTTCCCTCTCGTGCTCTCTCTCTCTCATTCTCTCTCTCTCAAATAAATAAATAACATCTTTAAAAAAAAAAAGCACAGTGAATTAAATACTTCCTTTCCTAGGATTTACCCTCATCTCATTATCCAAGTTTCATTCACGGAAAAATAGTTCTTTCGGGTCTCCCTTTCCCAGTTGAATTTTATGTCATCCAATGTTGAACACAGTATGATAATATTGAGGGGTTGTCTACATTATCCAATTACTCTTTGTCATTTACCTTTAACATTTCAAGGAGTTGTCAATGATTTCATTGTATCTGTTAGGTTGTATATAATGTTACTCAAAATAATTGGGCTTCCAAAATAAGGAAAGCTTTTCATTGTAAGAGGATGTATTGTGATGGGCTTTGACTTACATCAAAGAAGTGTGTATCTTCAGCTGTGGGGCCACAGCTGTTCTCACTGAGGTTACTGGGGTTTTGCTGGCACAAAGGAATATGGAGATCTGGCTTGTGTTCTTGGGAGGTTCATCATCAACAAAATTTTATTGCTTATACAGCATCTGTAAAATTGAGAGCATCAAATTTTCCACGAGAAATTGTTTTGACATTTGATTTGTCTTTACCTACCTTTTTAGTTTTTTAACTTACTGTTTTAGGTGCAAACCAGAACTTCAAGAAGCAGGAGTTGGGTTCAACAGCAAATTCTATGTCACTCCCATAGAGAATCATTTCCTGTCAGAACTTCATCCCACTCTAGCTACTTGTACTGCTTTATCTTCAAGTTGAATTAGGACAGAAATGTCCTAATTTGAAGAGAGTACTAATGAGCAATAAAAGGCTAGAAGCCAAGCTGAAGGGGAAAACTCAACCGTCTGGGCTTAGTTAATTCAAAGTAAATTCATGTATAGTACAGAATCCTAAAGATAGACAGGACATGGGCAGTTTAGTCTAACTGCCCCAATTTACAGATAAAAAATTCATTTATTCAGTGGATATTGAGTTATGTGCCAGATATGGAGTTACAGCTGTGAATAGAGTCCCAGCACTCAAGTATCTCTCAGTCCAGTGGTGGGGGAAAAGACCATAAAATGACGATAATTGTGGTCCGTTATTTCAAAAGGAAAGTAAAACCAGATAAATGGTGTCCACTCTCACAGAGCTAGTTGAGGTAGAGCAGAAACTAGAACCAAGATTTCCAGACTCAACTGTACCCTAGAGAAACCATAGGAATGATTGCAGAACGTCCACACAGAACACTTCTGTTATCATGAGCTTGTTACTTCTGCTTTTAGAAAAACTCGTAATTTTCAAAATTTTTGCATGTTGCCAATTAAAAAAAAACTTGTCCTTTTATAGATGCAATTAAGTTTGAAAAGAATTTAAGTGACAAATTTACTAGTGATATTTCCTGTACAGCACAAAAATAGATCAAATCAGTAATGTCCACTGTAACATATTCAAGAGTACATTTTTAAAAAGTATTTTGTTATATAATCTTACTGTATTTTGTTTTAAAACTTTTCATCTGTGATGTTGAAAAATCTTATAGTCTGGTAGCCAAAAAAAAAAAATGCAGTCATGTGCCCTCCATAATTTCTTTTTATTACAAAATTTCAGTGAATAAATCATGTGTGACTTTTATTCGCAGTGTGAACTACTTTGGGATGCAGATAGAACAAATCTGCAAATTTAAATAAAACTATTATTTCAGTGTCATTAAAGGCATTAGTAACAGGTTTTCTTTTCTCATTGTTTTGAAGAAGTTTGAACCAGGGGAATGAAAATAATTGATTTTAGAGTCAGAAGGAACTTTAGAAATTATCTTGATTGGCCCCTTTATTTTACATCTGAGGAAATTATAGCCTAGAGATGTGATCTTTCCCATCGCCAATGAACCAGTAGCAGAACAAGGATTAGAAAACTAGTTTTGTGGTGATCAAACTGGCTCTTTAATATGTCGAGTGCCAAGGAATTCTGATTCTTTTTTTTTTTTTAAGATTTTATTTATTTTTCAACAGAGAGACAGCGAGAGAGGGAACACAAGCAGGGGGAGTGGGAGAGGGAGAAGCTGGCTTCCCGCTGAGCAGGGAGCCTGATGTGGGACTCGATTCCAGGACCCTGGGATCATGACCTGAGCTGAAGGCAGATGCTTAACGACTGAGCCACCCAGGCGCCCAGGAATTCTGATTCTTTTGGAATGTCTCCCCTCCCCTTTTTTTTAGATTATATATTAATCTCATGAAACCCCATAAGAGTTCTGTGAAGGTAAAATCTGAATATTTACTAAACTTCAGTCGGCTTCCTGCTGCCATGGGGATGAAATACCTCTTTAGCTTTGATTTTTCAGGGGACTTCACAGCATGGCCCAACCTACCTTTTCAGCTTTGTCCCCCACTGCTTCTCTTTGCAGCCAAGTTAGCCCAAAAAAGTTTACTTTCACTTTTCAAATACCTTGTGCTCTAAGTGTTTTTGCTCATTTTCCCTACATTACAATACTAATCCTTCAAAGCCTAGCTTCAATTTCACCTCTGTGAAGTCTTACCATATCATGGGAATTAGAAACGCTCTCTTTGGGATTGATGACTCTGGACCAGTTAGCATTTATTATGTTGCCATGTTTATCAGTTTTGTTTCTCAGTTTCTCAGCGAGAATATGGAATACTTAAGAACAAATGCCATATTTTTCATTATTTTTTCATCTACTTTCACCACCCTTGAGGCTAGTATGAAACTTTTTTTTAAAGATTTTATTTATGTATTAGCACAAGCAGGGCGGGAGGAGAGGGAGAAGCAGTCTCCCCATTGAGCAGGGAGCCTGATAACGGGGCTTGATCCCAGGACCCCAAGATCATGACCCAAGCTGAAGGCAGGTACTTAACCAACTGAGCCATCCAAGGGCCTTGAGGCTAGCATGAAACTTCACACATAAGGGGAGCTCAACATTTTAGATGAGTGATAAAGAGAGCACCAAATGCGCTATCATATCAGAATAATCTTTAAAGTAAGAACATGTCTTGTAAAATAATCCATCCCTGATACAACAGCCATCCAAACTACTTCCAGTCTTGGCAACCTCTGCTTGATGGCTGGGCTCAGCACCATAACCCAAGTCTACCCTTGAAATGAACTCTCTCAGGATAGGCTTGATAGTTTGAAATATATCAACAGTGGTATTTGTCCTTCAGGCATATTTGAGAACCGTTCATTATAAGTGTCATTGAGAAAACTATAAAAAGTGCTTTATAAAGAAAGCTGACACCTCACCACACCAGTCTGTCCAGTTATAAGGAGAGTCTGACAACCACACTGTTAGAGCAGGTGCCTGTGGGCTGTTAGCTGCCCTCTGTCCCAGGTCCCATCCTAGAGCATAGGAAGGGACAAGGATGTCACAGGGGTGCCCCTTTCTCCAAACCAGACCGCAAACCCAGATGGCTCTGTTCCTCCCAAACCAGATCCAGTCCCTGAAAGGGACAGCTTGTTTTTTTCACAAAGAAATTCCCTACAGCAAGGCTACACCACACTGACTAGCATTTATCATGTCATGTGGTTACCAAACCAGATCTCATACTTTGGGCAAAGGAAACTCTCAGGGCCCACCTGGGAAAATGCCATCCAGGCAGCCATGTGGAGCTCTGGAAAATCACTTAACTCCTGACACCCAGGAGCGCCATGAGACTAAGATGAATCACCAAGGTTTACGAGTTTGTGTTCTGACGCTTGAGGCACCAATTAACGAACAACTGTAGATGCCAAGGTCCAAATGCATCTGGGATTGAGACAGATCTGACAAAGCCCAAATCATAAAGATAAATAAACACTGGCAATATCCAAGCATATTTCTGCCTAGCTCCACCCTCTACTTGTGCACAACTTCCTGTTAATTACAGATGGATTACATGAAGAAGGAAGGTCTAACAGTCATTTCTGCTTGATTGAGAACAGCATCAGAATGCTTTTCAAGGGGCGCCTGGCTGGCTCAGTCAGTGTAGCATGCGACTTGATCACAGGGTCGTGGGTTCCAGCCCCATATTGGGTGTAGAGCTTACTTAAAACCTTTAGGGGCGCTGGGTGGTTCAGTCCATTAAGCGTCTGCCTTTGGCTCAGGTTATGATCCCGGGGTCCTGGCATCAAGTCCCGCATCGGGCTCCTTGCTCAGCAAGGAGCCTGCTTCTCCCTCTCCCTCTCTGCTGCTCCCCCTGCTTGTGCTTGCTCTCTCTCTCTCTCTGTCAAATAAATAAATAAATAAAACAAAATAAAGTAAAAACTTAAAAAAAAAAGAATGCTTTCCAAGGCCAGATCCCTTTCTTTGCTAAACATTATATGAAAGCCCATCTTCACTGACAAGTACACCCAGGGAATGTGGTCCAACAGAGTTTAATACTCAACCTATGTCAATGGTCTTATCCTTTACTCAGAGTGTGGCCAGGGGACCCACAGTTAACCTGGAAGCCTGTTAGGAATACAGAATCTTGGGCCTCACCCAAGGCCCACTGAATCAGAATTTTGATTTTTACAGAGTCCTTAGGTAATTCATATACAAATTAAACTTTCAGAAGTGTTGAAGAGGTCTCAGAGTTCTGGTTCCTAAACAAATACCTAACCTCCTTGGGCCTTGTTCTCTTTGTCTACAGAAAAGAAAGCACTTGCCCTCCTGTTTCATGCAACTGTTATGAAATCTTGAGAGCAAAAGCACTTTGAAAAG